TTACTTGATACATAATCATTAATTACAAAAAAAAAATATAATATAAACAAATACACCTTTTTTTTATACAAAAAAAAAAATTAATTTGATACATGATTACAAATAATTTAATATCAGCAAATGGCAAATTCCTTTTTTCCTTATATATAATAATTAATTTAGTACATWGTTACAAATAATATCATATCACCATATACTTTTTTTTTTACATAATAATTAATTTAGTACATAGTTACAAATAATATCATATCACCATATACTTTTTTTTACATAATAATTAATTTAGTACATAGTTACAAATAATATAATCTCACAAATACTTTTTTTTTTTTTTCTACAATGATATATAACCAAATGCCCTTTTTTTTAATCCAAAATATAATCCATATCCATATATCGGCTAGGAGGTTTCCTGGCGCGCTTTGTGAGTTTCGGCTCATCCGGGGTGGTTCTCTGGTCTGGGGTCGGGTTATCCGGACTAGCTTCCCCATCACCTGGTGGATCGGAATCTGGGTGTCCTTCACTCACTCCTCCGTCACTTGGTTGTTCGGTATCTGGATCCTCTTCGCGAAGCACCTTCCAAGATTTAAGTTGCGATGCGTGCGCAGTAGTGGCGTAAACAGTCTTCCCCTCCGGTGACAGTTCGGCCACACGATACGTGTCCGCGGGCAATACTTCTATAATTTGCAACGGGCGTTCACGGTACTTGGACTGTAGTTTCGATGACTGACCGGGTATAGGCGCTCTCAACATGACCACTACTTCTCCTGCTTCAAAGCGAATACGGTCGTGATGTCGTTGATCGTACCGTCTTTTCATCAGTTCCTGCCCTCGTACTATARCGTTGCGTACCTCAGCGTGTTGCTCCGCCGGTTCCGTCCGGTCATTTTTAGTTCGGCTGAGCGAATGCAGGGCCCCTCCCTGGTAACGTGGTTGATACCCATACAAAGCTTCGTAAGGGCTTTTAGACGTAGTCTTATTCTCTGCCGAATTAAGGTGTCGCTCGATGTCGCGTATCTTCGCGTCCCAGGAACGTTGATCTGACGCGGTGAGGCTGAGTAGCGGCAAGATGGTCCTATTGGCCCGTTCCACCTGCCCGTTTGCCTGAGGGTGGCGGGTTGAATTAAGCACATGACTTATTCAGTTTATCTCGCAATATCTCTCGAACGCGTGCGACGTAAAGCACGTTCCACGGTCGCTAATTATTCGATCCGGGAGTCCCCTTTCGCCAACAAATCTTCCCAAGATTCGAAGCACGCCTGCCGCGTCCGTCGTACGACACGGGTACAGATGTACGTATTTAGTAAGATTGTCCGCGATCACCAATAAGTAACGGTTTTTCGACGTGGACGTTTCGAATGGTCCCAAGTGGTCCATGTGGATTATTTGGAACGGTCGTTATTATTTGGAACAACTCTAGACTTGTCCAATGGATTTTTACAGATAYCGTTAACCCCCGCAGCAAGGGACAAGACGGCGTTTGTAACCGAAGAAGAAACAGCTAAGTTTGAGCGTATGCCTTTCGGGCTTAAAGGCGCGCCAGGAACGTTTCAAAAACTTATGAATATCGTGTTCAAGGAATTGAAGAGTGAGGGGATCGTAAGCACGTATTTAGACGACRTTATACTACCATCGATAAGTTGGGATCATATGATGCACGATTTACGCCGGGTGTTAAGCGCACTACACGCCGCTAATCTTACTCTTAAACCGTCAAAGTGCAAGTTTGGCGCCCGCGAACTTGACTACTTGGGCTTTCGTGTCTCCGAAGGGACAGTCAAACCAGGACGTAAGGTTCATGCGATTTCCGAGTTTCCGCGTCCTAATGATGCGCATGAAGTTCGCCGATTCTTAGGCTTGGCCGGTTACTTCAGAAGATTTATAGTGAAGTACGCGCAAATTGCGGCCCCGCTCACGCAGTTGACCGGCAAGGATGTACCATTCGATTGGTCACAGGAACAGGAGGATGCCTTCGTTATGTTGCGCGAAATCCTATGTAGTGAGCCGGTGGTTAGCATGTACAACCCCAACGCCGCCGTTACACAAATTCATAYTGACGCCAGCTCCAGAGGTTTATCAGGCATACTGTTACAGGGGGACACGCAATCGAATTTAAAAATGGTATACGCCGTAAGTAAAAARACGACCGGGCCGGAATCTAATTATCATTCTAGCCGCCTCGAGTTATATGCAATAATATGGACGCTCAACCGCCTACGACCGTTCCTACTGGGAATACGATTCACTGTCGTGACSGACTGTCAGGCGCTTACGTATTTGAACGTGAATAAAACCACCAAACCGCAGATCGCGCATTGGTTTGAGGTATTTCAGGAATTTGACTTAGACATAAAGTACCGACCCGGATCGCGCATGGCGCACGTTGATGCGCTTAGTAGAGCTCCCAACGATGTTGGAACCGCCAATACGTCTGTCGAAGCCGAACTCTCCGACCGCTTAGAAGTTTTCATCGCACTTACGATCGCGGATCGGGTACGATTTATGCAGCAAGCGGAMGAACAAACTCGTAAGGTGATCAAACTGTTGGAGACGTCTGACGAGCGCTCTAAAGGCGAGGAAWCKGAGGTGAGCCATTACGAGCTRAACGACGGATTGCTGTACCGCTTATATCGAGGCAGACCGCTGCTGGTCGTACCGAAGTCGATGCGGAAAGGCATCGTCATTGCGGCACACGATTATGGTGGACACTTCTCCGTCGACCGAACGATCGCCCGTATAACGAGGGACTACTGGTTCTCGTGTATGAAAAGGTATGTACGGCAACACGTCAGAATGTGTCTTGATTRCTTAACGCATCAGAGACCAGCTGGCAAGCAAGCGGGATTACTTCACCCTACGCCACCGGGGCGACGACCGTTCCAAATAATCCACATGGNTTTATTATTAACGTTGAAATTGAAACATAGTACTTAATATTTAAAAATATTATATACTAATATACCATTTAATATTTATTCCAAATAGGTAAATAACATATTTTATGCAGATGATAACATTATATTGGCTATATTGTTTCGCCATAACATTTTATAAACTTAATATTAAACCGCACTCGTTCCAAACATATCTGATATCTCTCAATTATTTATCATTTTAGAATACCAGTATATTATAATGGAGAATGGTAAAAAAATTCCCAAAAACTAAGTTTATAAAACTTGGAACATTTTAATCTTCAAGGTTTTTTAAAGCTGTAATCTAAAACGTTAAGTTACAGCTATAATAATTTTATACAATGGATTTTTTTCTAAGAGTATATAATATTATTATTATATAGACTTCTTAATATATTAAGATATATTCTACGGCACAACAAGTAGGCAATTTAGCTATGTTAGGTTCATATTTTTGATAGCGATAGATAATTATTATCTTATGTTAATAAATCTTATTAAACTTTTGTTTTGTTTTACAGTATGATTACTAGAGTTCGAAAGTTATGGGAGTAAAAAAATGCGAAATATGCAAGAAAATGAAAGCTACTAGGTTACAATTTAAAAAAAAGAAAACAAGATAGTTAAATAATTAGAACAAACAGCAAGCATTAACATTTACATCAGAATTTCGAGAATATATATTTCATACAAATAAATAATTAACGAACGGCAGTATACGCGCAAGGAGCATGACGTCGCGTCCGGCGTCGCGGTTAAACAGAATACAATACAGAACGAGCAACGGCCGCGAGGGCGACTCGGTCGGCCGCGGGCCAGTGTTACCACCCTTGCCGCTAACAAAAAATATTTATTTATTATAAGTGTATTACTAATTTATTGATGTTCATGAAAAAAAAATACTAAAAACTGATATTTAAATAAATTGTATTATTGAAAACTAAAATATGGCGCGTAACTGGTTGGCATTTGAGATATTATTGAACTGAAAAAATAATTAAATAAATATATTTTCAWTATTTTTGAAATACTAAACAATTAWTTCATTTTTTTAGAAAATATTAAGAATGCAAAAATCAATTAAGATCGACGAAATATGMATTTTAAATTTTTAAACTAAACATTTTAATGCTCGGAATTCTAGCTTGATCTGCTATGATTTGAGAGCATATAAAACAATATGCAACTCCAAACCCTAATGATAATAATCAATTTAATTGATTAAGATGTCAACACAAAATTTGTTTCTCTTAGACTAACAAGCATCATAGATACAACACTTACACCCAAAATTATTTTTTATGATTTTTGAGTAAATCAGTTACTTTTAGGAACTAATCAGTTATTATAAAAATCAYAGATGATAATATTTTTGAGAGTATGAGATATTGATTCTATTGTTTATTATTATTTGACTTTCAAAATAATAAAAACAAAAAAATTTTAATTTAAATGATGTTGAATTTATCTTGTAAAAATATTTTGACAAATCGATGTGATATCTTAAAAATGTGTTCATTATCATCTTTGTATTGGGTGATTTTACCACAGAATATTCTGTGATTTTACTCTACTTAAAACATGATTCTGTGTGAATGTTTTGTCTATGTTGTACCAATGAGAAAAAACAAACAATAGTATTGTATTAATATATTAAATATAATTGTACACTTTTTTTTTTTATTTCAATTAATATTGTTAGAACCTCAATGACTGAATAATTGGCTCAATATAACTTGCAATAAAATTTAAAATAATACGTTCCATACATATTTATATGTAAATAAATTATGTAATAAAATATAAAATTAATATTAACTTGAATAATATTCAACAATGTTTACTCAATTTTTACATTGTGTGTCACTTTATTTTTGTGATTTAAATATCGGCTTCATTTTCTGAACAAATATTTTATGTTTTTCATCACTAGTTCGATTTAAAATAATGGTTTACAACTATGGAACTATATAATACATATTAAATATTTCTATTAAATGATATTTTTATAAAATTAAATAAGTACTAACTTTAATTTAATTACATATAAATATTTTATATTTATGAAAAAAATATACATTAAAACATTAATATTGTGAGAAAAAAAAATTACAATTAATAAAGGTAAACAAGCATGTTGATATGATAGCTTTAATTTTTTTTACAAAATTTAAACACAACACATTGGGTGCAGTTTTATTTTTTTCTTTTCTCAGCTGTTGGAAATTCAGTCATACCTTTWCCACCTAAGCCACAGGTGCCAATGCCAACTCGCCCATTAACATTATCAGGACTGGCAAATATGCTTTTTTTTGGTATACCTTTTTTCACACCCTAAACAAATTCAAATATAAAATGTATTAATGCAAAAGTATACTAAATAATATCACATTATTTTTCACTACAAAGTAAAAATATAAAAAGAATTAGATTTAGAAAAGAATTTAAAATATTGGATAACCCATCTTCTATWATACTTATAATAAGATCATCTATACATACTATACAATAATAATAATGATGATAAAATCAAATTAATAGTTTCTTTGATTGTTAAAAATTGTGATATAATTATATTATTAACTTTTATACGACAATTGAAAAGTAAAATATAGGCCTTTGAGACTAAGAAATAAAATTAGAAAATATAATTAATAATCATTATTTTATTAAAATTTGGGCAGTAATATATATTATTAAACAACATGATTATATGATATACATATCATAGTAGTTAATGAAATGTGGTATTTAGTAATCGAGTTGTTTAATTTTTAGAATTGTAAAAAAAATAATACGGTTAATCTATTTTACCTGTAATAGTACATAATTAATTTACTAGACTTACATCACTAATTGTAAATGTATAGATATTATATAAATGATTTGAGACTATAMATTTCACAATAATGTAAAACATTAAGCAACTGGATTAAAATTATTTCGATTAATTCGAAATAAAAGAAAATACAAATTTTTTCTAATAAAAACATATTATCGATAGACTTAACTATAAAAATATACTACCTATATCAATAAAATTGTTTAAGGGTTGAGCCACACATGGTGGTTGAATCACTTTGCAAATTCAAATTGTTTGATTTTATTAGCAACCCCATGACAGGCGTTCACACTTAAGCAGWTCAGCCAAGTAAGCGGTTGTGGCTGAAAAATCAACCACTATGTATGGCCTACTGCTGAATATTTTCATAAAAAAAACTGCTTATTTTAAGGTTATATGAACAGAGTTTATAAACAATTTGATTAAGATTTGGGTAAATTTATTCTATCTATWAACCGAAATTATAGTTTATCTTACTTTAGTAGCAAATGCTAGCCATTTATTTTTTTCTACTTCACGTTCCTCTTCTAATTGTTTAAACCTCTGCTGTTTAGCAAGTTTTCTTTTTTTCTGATATTCTTTATATTTGGCTACTGGTTGTTTTCTATTAACATAAAAAAATAGTTTTAAAATTCAAAAAATAAAAAAATTTAAAAGATTTTACTTGTGCTTCATTTCATTAGGATGAGTCCTAGGTAAATCTTTAATATAATCTAATGTAGTTACTGCAGCAGCTTTTTGTCCGTCTATTAAAACTGCCACTGCTTCTCCATCAATAGTCTCAATAGTACCTTCGTAGAATTTACCATCATCTGCTAGTTGTGCTAAACATCTGTCTCCTGATTTCCATTCACCTTTCGTCTTTGCAACAGACGGCAGTATATCAGGTTGATATGTTGATTCTTTTTTTGTTTGCACTAAGATAAGTACAAAGTAGGTTAACAATTTAATTATTTCATCATTCAGTATTATTATCTCATTAATGTATAATGTATATTATACTGAACATACCAACTTCTTTTTTTGGCTGAGTTTGTGTTCTTACTAGTTCAGCTGTTAATTCAATAACTTCTTCTAAATCAGTTTTTAATTTCATAAGTTCAGGGTCATCAGGACTATTTGTCAATGCAGCTTCTACCTATAAGCAGAATAAAATATAAGCAAATATTAAATTCACGTAAGCATTTTCCCCAAATTTAACAAATTAGAGCCTATAATAAAAGTGTATTGATACAATATATTATATACTATGGTAAATTTACCATAGCTTTGCCAGACAAACCTTACCGGTGCGTATAAACGATTACATCCGGATGTAGAATGTTCAACATGACTGAATCCTAAAAATTCCGACAATTTTTTAAAATTTTTTTTCTAAAATCTCAACCAGGAGTACTTTTAATTAAATACAGACCATGGTTGTTTGTTTTTACAGAAACCAAACAGTTGGTGAATAAACATCAGCTACAACTGTTCCAACTGCAGCTGTTGCCAGGCGAATTGGGTATAATGCAGGTAAAGCAAATCTGAAGACTTTTATGAACAGCAAATTTTCTCTACAATTTTATAAACCGGGAGAAGTTATAAATTATATTTTAATTAGTTGTTTGCCTAATTGTAATACCTTAATACTTTGGATGATGCCGATGATGCTAATAATGTTTCCCATTGCTGCATCTATTTATTATTAAAAAAAAATACATTTATGGTGAAGGATTTTCACTATAAAATGTTTCTATTTATTTAAATTATAACTGAAAAATAGTGTTCTTTWTAAAAGTTGAACTCCAATGTGTAAGACTTTTTATTCTAAAATATAAGTAAATAATTACTTACATTTTTTTTAATTAGACACTAAGTAATATGGGATAGAATATGGTCAAGGATTAAAAAAAAAAGTAGAAAACAGAATGTTCAATTTAAATTTGTTGATTAAAACAATAATTTGAAGTAGGTAAATGGGCGACATTTAAAAAATTATAGTATTACCTTCATAATATGCTATAATCCCCTATATAATCTAAACAAATACCTAACCTAAAGGCATTTAACTAAAACATTTTATTCTTAATTTATATTTCCAAAGTTAAAAATTATTTTTTGGTTACATTAATACAAATTATTTTAYTAGCTCAAAATCATCATATTATACTGAATTAAAGTTTGAAAAAAATTTAAAAATATAAACCTAAGTAACCTACTGATAATCATATATGTATGTTAAAATAATTATTTATTTTTAAAACCTACGGTTAATATTATAAAATATTCACAAAAATAAGACTTACAGAGTATAGTCTTATAGTCTTTCAAGCCTTATTAAGTCTTTTTCTTACCTAAGAAATATTAAATAACATACTTAAATTATGTTAACATTTAAGAGGACGTTATACTCGCATAAGTTGTCTCCATTGTGCGTAACATTACAAATTTTATGCTCAGCAGGACACTTTTAACTCCGTTAGATTAAAAACTAGAGTGAATTGACCTCTAATAAAATTTAAGGGTAAGGTTATTATTAAGACAATCTCATGAAATTTTTATTATATTCTAAATTTAAAGCGAGTTATAAGTATTTTAAAATTGTAAATTGTTTGTAGGTACATCTTATTTTTTATTTAGCCATGGGATAGATTAAGTCAGATTTATAGCTACTTTTTTGTCGTATTGTGTATAAAAGTTTAGTTCGGCTTAAATAGAAATTTCAACGATAATTAAGGTTAGTGGATTATACAACAATTATAACAGTTAAACAGAATACAATTAAAGGAGGCACTTGATACATAGATGTGAACCCAGCTCAAAATCAAATAGACTTTGATTCTAACATATTATGGATGTTTTGTTAATCAATATTCAATGCAATCTGTGAAATAAGTGCACATATCCMGATGGATTTTTATTTAATAAACGTATTATAACAAGACATTCATAATACGTACATCGAATAACAATATCATAGATTTTGGTTATTATTTTATACAATCTGTAATAAGATTGTAGCGACATGCTTATAGTTAGAAGTAATTACCTGCTGCAGTTGCAATTTGTAATTGATTAGCTCATCCGCCATTGATAGCAGTCGTGTAGCAAATTTGTTTGTGATTTATTATACAAACAATGACGTTGTAGCTGGCAAACCCGTACGTTTTGGCAGATGTCTTTTGGGATATATAAGTATATTATAAATGAATCTGTGCGTAATATGTTTAGCAATACAAACCGTGACTTAGGCGTTTGATTTTGATTTATTACCACTAGCGAGTGTTAAAATAAAAATATTGTTATTGGTTACTGTTGTAGAAYGTTAATCGTGATTAAACGTTTTCTGATTACAAGTAGGTAGTCTGATGCGACGGCGGCGGAGTAGAAAATAAAATAATAAATAATAGTCTTCGCCCTTCGGTACTTGAGGAGACGGAATATACCGTCAACTGCTAAGTGTTAGTCACGAGTCACGACTTCCAATTCCAACCACTAACCAGACAAAATACACTGATACAGACGGTGTACGGACAACGGAACCATGTACGGAACTACGGAGGGCCGTATAAACTCAATAATTCTCATACAATAACAATAACTTACTGTTGATGACTATTTTAGTGATTACTGATTATACAATATGAACACGTCAAGTCCTATTCTTCTATATCATAGATAAATTGTATATTATTGTATTATTATTATTATTATTATTATTATTGTATTATATATTGAAGTAAAAAAAAGAA